CCACGTCTGATGCCCGTGACTAGGATTTGGAGACAAGGCATCTCCAGAGCCAACTAGCTAGCTAGACTAGCTGAACTGCCAGCTCCAAGTTCAGCAAGAGAGTTTCCCTTAGGAAAAACCAAAAAACTGGTGGGTAACTGAGGAAAGATATGTGACACCTACCTCTGTCCTCCACATGCACACACTTCTATGTGCACCGCACACACATAAGAGAAACAAAGGAAAACAAAAAATAACATCTTGGTTTTAGCCCTGGCTCCCAAACACAGATGTTTGTATATCTAGACAGAAACATACAAGGAGATGTACAACGTCCACACCAGCCCGTTAGCCCGGATCTACTCATCTAGCAAAGCCAAGTGAGTAAAGGGCAACAAAGTTATGTTATATTCCTTTAAAGGTTGTTCAAATAAAATATTGCAACCAATGTGAATGCACTGGCACCTTTGACCTCCCATGCCCCTGAGCTAGAGAAGCAGTGTCCATGTGGAGATTACCCTATGTGGGTAACCTTCAATGGGCAAGCCTGGGTCCTGCCTTCCTATTAGCAACCTGTAGCCAGAGTGCAAGGGGGTTGGGGTTGGCATGGGCCTCCTTGGCACAGAAAGCAGGTTGAAATCTTGGAGTCTCACAGGAATCTCCATACGAAGCCACCTTGTTCTTATCTCCAAGGGGAATGCTCCACTCTAAGAAAGTAACACTCAACCACAGCCAGGATACTGAGCCCCTTTTGCAGACCTCACTTTGAACACTCTTCATTCTAGAATGACCATTCTCCATTCACAAGACAGATTGGTGAAGACCTACTCCGGCTGGGAGGTGGTTTTTCACAAGACCTGGGACATCAAGTAGAGCCCCAAGCAGAGGCTGACGAGGGAACCCGGGACACGCTCCTTCACAGTGCGAAGCCTTTCCTAGACCTAGCCAGTGACTTAGTCACCAGTTAGGGTGGCTTCTGGATCAAAGAGCACTGTGTGTACCCTTTGGGGAAGAACTATTTTGCAACATTGAAAAAGAGTCTCGGGTTGGTGAGATAGCTCAGTGGGTTGGGGTAATTGACACGAGCCTGATAACCTGGGTTTGATCCCCAGAGTCCACATGGCAGAAGGAGAGAAGTGGCTTTTCCAGTTGTTGTCTGACCTCTACACGTGGGCTGTGGTATGCATACTACCCCCACTCTGAGAACTAAAAATGGAATAATAAAATAAAACAGTATCTAAAATGGTGCTCTCTGCTTCTTGGCTACGCAAATTCTTTGGCCTGGTTTTCTTGAAGCATAACAAAATGCTCCTACATTGAAAGGGGTGTCAGTCATGTAGGTGAGAAGGAAAGGCCCTGAATGGAGTTGCTTCTTACAGGGAAGTAAATCTCCATGACTCCAGGCAAAGGTTCCAGAAATCAGCTAACTCTTTCCTCATTCCACTTGCCTTTCACACTCTGACCACTGACACATAGTCCTGAAGAGAAGAAATGGAGTCAGAGAGGCCAGTTGAGATAGGGGAAGAAGAATATGGATTCAAGACCCCAAAATCATTAGGAGGCCAAGGTCAGGCGACCCTCCCACTTAGTTTTCTCCTATAAGTTTGATGATGATTTTAATTCTTATACTTAGTTACTCAGTCAGCTTTGAGCTGGTGTGTGTGTGTGTGTGTGTGTGTGTGTGTGTGTGTGAGAGAGAGAGAGAGAGAGAGAGAGGTGAGATAAAGATCCCATTTTATTATTCTTTTGCATGTGGTTATCCACTTTTCACAAAATAATTTACTGAACAGGCTATCATTTTCCATTATATCTTCTTGACACCCATATGAAAAATTAGTTGACTTTATACCCTTGGGTTCATTTCTAGGCTCTCTATTCCGTTTCATTGTTCTTAATATGGTGGCTTTATGCCTATATCCTACTGTTTTGGTCACTATCATTTTGCCATGTAGTTTGAAATTAGAAAATATGATGGCGCTAAGTTTGCTTTTCTTTCTCAAGATTGCATGGAACTTTAAAATTGTTGTTTTGTAGTTGCTGTTATCATTCCACATAAGTTTTAGATCTTTTTCTATTTCTATAAAAACACTTGTGGAATTTCGATATAGATTGCATCTAGTCTGAATCCCACTTTGGATAGCATGGCAATTATATGAGCATGGGAGGTATTTGCAATTACTAATGGCACTATGTCTTTTGTTAATGTTTTATAGCTTTCATTTATGGATCTTTGACTTCTCCAACAGCTGCTCTTCTTCTCTCACATAGCTGTTTTGAGGATCGGGGAGAAGCAAGGTGGGAAACCCTTTGGACAAGTGGTGTTGCTGAGTCAAAGCCCCCACTGGAGGCTTGGAGCCCATCTGACTACTCCAATTGTTCTGGCCTTCAATAAACACAGCCTAAATCCCCACATAGAACTTCCCAGTTCAGGAGTCAAACATGGTTTCAGGGTTCCTCACTGTTCTGAGCAGAAGACAACAGCTGAACAGGCCAAACTCCATGTTTTTGTAAAGTAACAAAGGTCCCAGGCAGGGAAGGTAGCTCCCACACAGATGTATCTATACCCTCACAAGAAAAGGTTTAGGGGCTGGAGAGACGGCTCAGTGGTTCAGAGCACTGGCTGCTCTTCCAGAGGACCTGGGGTTCAATTCCCAGCACCCACATGGCAGCTGTAACTCCAAGATCTGACACCTTACATAGACATACATGCAGGCAAAACACCAATTAAAATAAAAATAAACTATTAAAAAAAGAAAAGAACACCTTTTGGTCTTCTCAATGAACTGGCTACCTCAGAAAGAAAGATACTATTGGCATTTGCATTTATTGAGCACTTAGTACTTAGTATATGCCTTGTGCCTTCTGTCCATTATCTCACTTATTATCTCCACAACAGCCCTGTTATTATCCCCATCTGCCAGATGAAGAAATTGAGGTTCTAAGAGATGAAGTCACTTGCCCCAGGTCACACAGCTGTGTGCTTCTAAAGTTCAGACTTTGTAATAAAGGTCGGCCTTAGAAACGACATCTGGTGTTGAGAACCAAGGACTTCATTTTTTTTTTTCACAAAATAATTCCTAGTCTACAAGAACAACTGAACTCCCATGAGTAGGGTTCTAACCCTCCCTGATCCCTGTACCATTGGGAGCATGGCTATTTGTGTGAAAATGGAACAAGAAAAGATCAGGGTTCTCAATCAGGTACTTATCATCCATCAGGGGCAGACCATAGAATGGAGAGAAACAAGGAGTAAGCAGGAGTTGATTCATAAACACAGTTACACGTCTATTCCTTTCAAGTCAATGCTTACTTTGAACATGGATCCTTTGAGAATTTGAGGAAACATGTGGACCCTGTCCTAGGAGAAAAAGCTACATGCAAACCCACAATTTTTCGCATAGTTTCCGAGAAATTTATTGAGTTTCTTGTATGCTGTCCAAGAGTAACAGACCCCAGGTTAAAAACTGCTGCTTTAAGCAAACCCAATTCTATGCTTTAAAATGTAATAAGCTAGAGAACAATGGCTCCTTTAAATAACAAGGCAACCTAGGGCACAAAACCCAGGTTTTGATTTATAAAGCTTTTGTTTTCAATGCCTAGTTACCTGCATGAGGTACATATACACTCAGCATCTCCTAGTCCCCTAGTTCCCTGTGAAAGGCACAGATGACCACTATAAGGTCTGGCCAGAAGAGAAACAGAAGCTGTACATAGGGTAGTAGCAAATGTCTTTGGTGAGTAGACATTGGGTAGCCACTTAATAGACTTAAGTGACTTCATTCGATGTAGACTGGTTATGTGACCTTAACAGCCCAGATAGCACCTGAAATCAAATGTTTTAGTCTCTGTGTAAAAGCAGTATAGATTTGACCATGTCTGTTCCTACTGTGCAACTAGTGGCTTCATGAGAGGCAGACTGAGTACACATTGGCTCACTCACCTACCTGAGTCGGCAGTCAGCTTTCTTATATTAGCCCATGTTATTCCAAATAGCAACTGTTAGTTCCTTGCCAACTGAGGCCCCATTGTTCTTTTACAAAAATATTAGATAATCCCAACCCAAGTCATTCCAAGACAATTTCCCCCTGGCCTCTTGGGTTGTGAGTAGACCAGGTCTTACTGTAACTTTTAGTAGGATTGTTAGTTACAGCCTGATATTTCTCCTAATCCCCGTCCAATGTTCAAGCCTTCATCTAAACAGTCACAAGGCACAGATCTGATGCAAATGTTCTATAGCACTTTCCTCCTTAAAGATCTTGATTTGAGAGAAAGAGACTGTGCAGTGGGTTGGAAAGTACAGTGGACCCAGATCCATCATGCATTGCCTCCTTACCTCTCTGTGCCTCATTTCCCACCATTAGACAGCCATCGGTAAAAGCTGGGCATGGAAGGTCACACTTCCACGTGCTTGGGAAAGCGAGGCGGGTGGATGAGTTACACAGTGAGTGCAAGGCCAGCCTGTGCACTACTGTGAGCGCCTGTCTTGATCCCCCAGCAGAAAAGAGCACTTACTCTGCTTCTCTCTGTCAGGCAAGAAGGACTCACAGGAAGAAGCTAACGAACCCTCAGATGATGTATTAACCAGTAAGCTTTTGAACACATGACAACTCACAACCATTATTTCACTGAAGCTTCCGACAATCCCAGGAGCCACACAAATCCTCATTGTTTTGTCTTGTATTCATTTACTCTCTTCTCCTTCTCCTCCCGTACTCAGAAAAACTTGTAGAGAGACAAGTTTTTTTTTTTTTTTTTTATGACCAGGTACTGCATGCAGCCCATGAGTCTTTTCTTTTGTGTGTACAGAGTTAGAAACAGACTTAGCAAAGGAAAAAAAAAAAAAAAACACTTCAAAGCACACACTGACACATAGCAAAGAACTGGACTAGCCCCCTCTCCCCACCTTATTTCTTTCCCCTCTCCCCTTTCCTCTCCCCCTCCTCCCCCCAGGCTTCTTTTCCAAGGCTCCAAGTTATTTGACCCCAACCATTCCCCCATTGTAATAAGAAGTCGTTACTCACTTTAAAAAAAAAAAAAGAAATCTTTGGCTCTCTGAGAATTCTGAGGCTGTTAGTCCTGTTTTCTCCGTGTGGAGCACGAGGGAAGGGGTAGGGAGAGGATGAGGCAGGTCCCTTAGTCGTGAATCTTCGATGCCTGGACTGTTCCAGTTATATATGGCTTTCAGAAGATGGCTGAGTATGTTCACTCTCTCCTTTTTCCCGCCCCCTTTTCTAACTCTCAAGCTGCAAAGCAAACCTGCGGCGCCTAAATGCGCCAGGTGTCTCCAACTTTCTAATTGAGCTAGGCAGACTCCCTCTCAGCCAAGAGTCTCGAAATATTTATCCAAATTTTGGGTTCACTGGATTAATGCCTTAAACTGGTGCGCAATCCCACTGAAGGTCAATGCTCTTGTCCTAACGTTGTCCAATGTCTGTGTGGTATTCAGACCTGAACATGATAACTTCACTCCACATTGCAAATTCCCCCGAGCGCACCCTGGAGAGAGAAGCCAGTTCTCATTGTTTGCAGATCGGTCAGCATAATGATTCAAGGTGGGCTCAAGATTGAAACTGCTGTGAGATAAAGCAGATCAGCCCCAGTGCACTCTTGGGGGAAGGCCTCTGCGAAGGGGAATGTGCAAGGCCCCTCCAGTCAGAGGAGACATCCGCTCCCCACTGCTTTGGGCTCCACCAGTTGGCAGATGGAGGCCTGTGCAAATGCTGGCCAGACCAAAATGGTGCCGAGACGGCCACGGTATTGTTTAGAAAGAAAGAAAGGAAACATCTGCAAATGCTGCCTTGGTGCTGAGCAGGGACAGCCTCCTGCTTTTCCTCATGGGTCCATGGTGGGCTAGCTCCTGACTCATCAGAAAGGCTCCCTGAAACAAATGCATCTGAAAGATATTTGCCATCCCCCACAGGAAATGCTTGGGTTTAGTCATCCCTACTACATGGGCTGAGTCAGCACGCTCAGCTTTAACCACAGCTGCTTTCCCATGGTAAGTTAAGAAGACCAGTTAGTTGAGTGAGGAGCACTTTGGCTGAAACACTGTGACAGCCAGTCCGACGGCTAAACTAGACGAATTGCAATTTGGGCACGGCTCAATACCTTTTTCAGTCTTTCTGGGTGGGCCTCAATTACTTTTTAGTATGTTTGTGCTACAGAACATTCCAGAATGAGTAGAGACAGCAGTCTGTGTACCTTTAAGAGACCACTATGGTGCCACAGTGTGATCTTTGGCTTAGGATTTAAATCCTGGTTCTGTCAATAATTTGCTATGTGACTATAGGGCAATTGTCCCCTCTCCCCAGGTCTCAGCATCCGAATATTTAAATTAGAGGCTTGGATAAGATCACTTCTAAGGCTTCTTCCTGCTCTGGTGGCCTGCAGAAGAGTCAGGGACAGATGGCCAGCCACTCTTTCCCCTGTTTACCTGTGGAAAACACCGCAGAACCTGTTTTGGGAATCTTCTTCAGCCTGTTCCCACCTGTGGTGGAAGATCTTCTCTGTGTCTGGCCACAGCCTGTTTTCTCTTATTTGGCCCCTCTGGACACAGAGTACCCCCGGGGAACATTCTTTTCTAAAAAATCTTTTGGCAACTCTAAGAGCTTCGAGTCTGTATCCTGTTAGACTCTCAGCAAATGTGGGAGACAATTGCTTATGGCTGAGGGTTAAATGACCACACTTTCTCCCCTCATCAGGGAAGTTTTTCCATTCTTTTGGTCACTGGCACTGACTCATGAACCTAGGGGGATGAAGGCTGCCTGAGGTCCTCCATTGGTTGTAATATTAGCTGTCAGGGATAAGAAAAACCACGTATTCCAGAAGTAGCCAGACGTTGTCTGGGATCACGGAGCTGTCCTAGGCCACAGAGAATCTTAGACACAGGAAAGAGGATGGATTTGTGTAATGTAGCCTCATAATCCATCCCTGGATCCAAGAGACCAAGGGTCAAAAATATCCGCTATTAGCCAAACACTTAACGTGTGCGTCAGATATTGTCGTGTGCACATCACTTGCTTATCTAATTTTTGACCCTGCTACTTGACTGCACAGTGTTATGGTCATCTCGTATTTTCTAGATGAAGAATCAGAGGTGCGTAGTGGTAATGCACTTTCTCGAGGTGAAACCTGCAATAAACAGAGGAGCTGGAGTCATGGTCTAGATCAGCCGAGGAATGTCTGCTGTCACTCATCCCCACTTCTGAGCGTTGGCATTATGGGAAGAGTGAAGACGGTGCTGAGGAAGTTGACTGCCCCACCCGCCTCATGTTTCTGCATCTTCTGTCAAGATTTGGCTTCTGTCTTGATGTCTATGGACCCTTTCCACAGAGAGGAAAACCAAAAAAGCCACCCCCCCCCCCCCCCCCGCTGCTCTGCAATATGTTCGCTTTATGGTCCTGGAATGGGCTGTGAGAAGGGACTTTGCACAAAACAGCTTTCCCTGGAGCTAAGAAACTTCCCTTTTTGGCTGGGAAGTCTATTAGATGAGTCAAATAGCAGAGTTTGGGGAGAACCAGTAACTTGTGTAGTCCCAGTGCTTCTCCTTATGGATGTGGCAACCGAGGCTGATACAGTGGTACAGTGACCAGATGCCTGGAGCCAATTACTGCATCTATACTTTCTGTATTCCAAAGATAGTACGGAACAAAAATTTACAGCTTGGTCAATGCAAGGAGAGAAAGAAGTTAATTTCTACCATGCCTATGGCTGTCTTCCAGTTCTTAGACAATCAAAACGAAAGGCTGTGAAAACAGTGTAGGGCGCCTTTTCCTAGGGGAAGAGTATTGTGGCCTCAAGTTTCTCCAATTGTCTCTATTCTCAATATGGGTGTCATCACAGCTGTATCAGAGACTGTGGGTTGAGATAGTTCTTTAAAGATGGGGAAAGGGAGGGAAATGACAAAGCCGACTATTTTGTAGTTCCATCACGAGCTAATCTTAACAAGGAAGTCTGGGAGAGAGAGTCACCTGTATTCGAGCCACACTTTCCAGTGGGCTGTTCCAAAGATCTTGCATAACAGAGGGGCAGAAACAGGTTTTCATAGTCAGCGAGAGAGCAAGCAACCGCCACCTTTGGATGGTCTGTCAGGGTTGCATGTGTGTGCAGGGCCCTCAGAAGCTAGAAGACAGCATCAGATCCGCTGGAATTGGAGTTACAGATAGTTGTCAGGCACAGTATGAATCTTGGGAATTGATCTTGATTCTCTAGAAGAACAGCCAGTAATCTCAACTGCTTGAGCTATCTCTTTCAGCTTACCGAATGGATCACATACATGTACACAAACAACTGGGGAAAGCCTACTTAAAAACAAGTTCCTCAAAAAGTAGCCTGCTGACTTTGATCTAAAGAGAATTCTCAAAACTTGCTTGGATGAAAGCTGAGTGCAGCCATCTTCCTTTTTGAGTGTGCAGATGTTAATGAAATGCTTTCAAGCCAAAGGCTTATAAAATGCTTCTTTAAAATAAATTTTATGGTGGTATAAATTTTCACTAATCCCAACACAGAAGTCAATATGGAAAAACTAACAGAAACAACTGGGACTTTTTGAAGCCTTCCAGGAACTGGCCTGAAGGAACAGTAGCTTAGTGGCTATTTTCAAAGGCATACCACAGATGATCCACAGTCCCTAATGTCAATCCACAATGTATTTTCCAGTCTCTTCCTTTTAAGTGCCCAACAAAAGTGTCAAAGAGTAAAAAACTAGAAGGTACCAAATTGTAGATCCTGCCTGATTTGCTTACTAAATGAGACCATACACACAGACAACCTTAAGTCTTCCTAGCTGCAACGATAAGAAGTCGTGATTGGATCATCTAAACATCCACATTGTGTTTTGGAGTATAGGCTATTACTGCCTAAGACCTTTCCCATGTGGTAAGAAAGTGGACCACACACCATCTTAGGAGCAAATGAACTTCCTCTTTGTTGTACAGAATGGCTGAAGTCTGATATCTTTCATAATCAGCCAACCTCTTAATTCATCCCAGGTTGTAGTTAAGCTCCCAATCCATGGGAGCAGTTTAGTTTAGGAGGCAAGACCGAAGTGAGTGAAAGGTAGGGGTATTTGTGGGTGGGGGTACGGTACACAGGCATGCCTAGGAAGAAATTTCTAGGTAGTCAGTACTTCTAAGCAAAAAAAAAAAAAAATGCAAAACGCTTTTGTAGTGTTAGGGGATGACATTTCATTGCAAAAATAAATGATTTGGTCATTACCATTTCATGGTTGCTGGCAATCACCGTCCTCTGCTTTCTAACAATTTCCATTTTAGGCACTGACAAACCCTTCAAAGGGATTCAGCCAAATATCCACCCAAAGTTGCGTATTTGGCAGTTTCATGGGGAGAAATCTGGGGCGTTTGGGCAGGAAAAAAAAAAACAACCTGCCAAAAGGGCTCCCTTCTTCTTTGTTAATTGTTAACAAACAGATTGCCATAAACAGTCATGGGGGCTCCATGGGCAGCAATACGGGAAGGAAAGGGAAAGAACGGAAGTTGTTGGCAGGGCTACTTCCTTGGCTCCAGTTCTTGCTCCCAGTCTCCATAGCTTCTTGTACTTTTCCCAAAACCGGGTGCTGCCTTAACTGTTATCGCTAACCAATGCAGGCCCAGCTCTCAGCAGGCAAGCTTCCATCTCAGACACAAAGCCCTGAGCGGAAGTGGAAATCAGGGCAAAGAGTTTCAATCTGTTGGAAGTTCATCTTATCGGACTGGCTAAACCTACAAGCATCTGTCACTAAGGATCTGCCTCTCTGGGAAACATCCCAGTTGATCTCTGAACCCAATTTGGGCCCCTGGCGCCTGAGGACCCACAAAACCCAGAGCATTTAGGCTTGCCATTAAGAAGATAGAAACTCGGTCCTGCTTGACCAGTAGCTTCAATAGCGTGATCTCAAAGAGATTTCACATCCATGCTCTCCTCAGTCTCGGAGGTGCTTCTCCTGACTCCCGAAATGAATAATTCCCTTTTCTGCACGCAGAATTTGTCCATCCTGATCCCCCGCAGCTCAGGCCCTACCTGTGCAGTTTCTTTTCTGCAAAACCTATTTTTTGGTCCAACTCATAGGCCTCATTACCATTAGTCATTAAAGCCAGTTTTCTGCATCATGGGTTCTGCATGTGTGGATTCAAGCAACTGTAGATGCAAAGTGTTTTCTAGA